CCTGTGGATGCAGATATGGTTAGCACTGTCCCAGAATCTGCTACACCTGCTGCTCTTGGTTATGCCACAAAGGTATTTTCTTAAATATCCTGCAGTGAATTGTTGTTCTGGCACTGCCATTAGAAGTCCTTGCCTATAAAAGGAAACCTTATTTTAAAAAGAAGGCAATGTTAGTGACTACAAGCATTACCTTTTTTTTAGACTTTTAATTCAGTGGCACTATTTTAGTTGACCCCACCGAAGATTGACCCAAAGACTAGGGGGTTGATCCTCTTCATGTAAATATAGGTAATATCATGAATATATATATAGAATTCAGTGGTAATGATTTGCTTATGAAAATTTACTTCTTGAGGTACCCCCTCAAGCCAATGAGACATTTGCCCCCTGCTAAATGTAGATGATAATAATTTATATTCATATTGTATAGTGTTCTTAGAGCAGTCCTTAATTTCATTTTTAGGGATAAGTGACTCTGGGGTATAGCATCCAGCAGTCCCTTGTTGGAAAGTTTAATCTCTTGAGTATAGGTTTCTTTTAATGGTTACATAATATGCACACATTTTAGAGAAATTTAGAGACCCTCTGACCCTCAAATCATCCCCTTTGCTTACTAGTTTTAATTCTCTTTTGATAATTTTCCAGTATGTAAGTTTTTCTAACAGTGATTTAGTCTGTGTCATATCTTCATATGCTTAGTGTTCTTTTCCAAACCAGAACACACCAGGGGAGAGGGGAGAGAGGGAAGAGAACAAAAAAGGGCAGGAAGCACAGTGATCCGTGGTGGTGAAATATTGGAGAGCTGGTGGTAACCCCTGATGGAGGTATTCCAGTATTACTTCAGAAAAACAATTACAAAAACTGTCAAAAATAAATAGTGAAGGAAAACTACTGATGATAGGGAGTCCAGAATAGCAACTAAGTGACTTGGAGAAAATAGGAGCCAAGAGTTCTCTGTATTGCTGCTCATTGTCCTTCTATTTTTTCTATCAGTGTAGACTTCCATATGTGGAGGTGTTGTGTAAAAACCGCTATGTAGGAAGAACCTTCATTCAGCCCAACATGAGGTTAAGACAGCTTGGTGTTGCAAAAAAATTTGGAGTATTGTCCGACAACTTTAAAGGCAAAAGAGTTGTTCTTGTGGATGATTCAATTGTGAGAGGCAATACCATCTCACCCATAATAAAATTGCTCAAGGAATCTGGTGCAAAAGAGGTAAGTAATAGTAAAACATAGCCTAAAGATCAGTAATTAACAATATGATACTGGCATAAAAATTGCATTTCAGTACAGGGAATCAAAATGAGTGGTTTCAGTCTAAGTCAAGTCAGCTTTGTTTAGCAATAACTATAGCAACTTGGAACATATGTATTAGCCACTTAAACTGCATACTAAATTTAATCTTTTGTAGATTAAAACAATATAAATGCTTAAAATCTTTATAAAATTAATTAAAAGGCAAATATGACCCACAAAATTACTTCACTTTTTAAATCTTTAGTGTTATACTTTCTCTTTTTGAAGACAGTATCAATTCTAGTATAAATTCACTCCATTATATTTTATATTTAAGTCTCAAAGCATATTCTAAATTTCTTGGTAATTCAAGTACAGAAGTCAGGTGCCATTTACAACTAATAGCTGAGCAGTTTTTGAAATAAAATCTGTTGTCAGAGGAAGTAACCTAGAAGGCAGTATGATAATCTATTTAGAAAATTTTGGAGATGATTATGATTTATTTTCTAGCCATGTATTACTGTAATAATCTCACTCTTAGAATTCTACGAAAATTATGTAACAGAAACAAAGAAAACTAGAAATTACTATGTCAATGGGAGAATAGTAAACTCTACACCAGTGTAATGACAATAATGATGCCATTAAAAATGACAGTTATGAAGATTATGAAACATAGGAAAATCTTTGCTATTATAAAAAAGGTAAAAAGTAAATGTGGACACCAATTATAGCTATGTAGTTTTATCTGACCAAAGGCAAATTGTAGGTGATGCAAGAAACAACACGCTACTCTATTATTTAAAAACAAAAACAAAAAAATCTTTACAAGTGGCTGACTTTTTGAAATTTTTGTTCAGAATATGCTAGTGTTTAGAGCAGGGTTGCTCAAGCATGATTCAAATATTCTGTAATTTTATGTTGCATTTCATCAGTGACAGAACTTTGCACAGTTATTGTTAAAGTGCATGTCAAAATAATGAACGTGTATTTAATAATGTTTTTTTCCCCATGGGTTTGTTCTCCAATAATGATAAGCAATAAATACAGCCATTAAAAACTGATGTGATAATTTTTATGTCATGTTTCTTGAATAATGCCAAAGATATTTAGGAAATATAAAATGTCTGTGGGTTTGCAAAAATAATGTGTGAAATGGTTTCTTTCATAGGTACATGTTCGCGTAGCTTCACCACCAATTAGATATCCATGTTTCATGGGAATAAACATACCAACAAAAGAAGAACTTATTGCCAATAAACCAGAATTTCAGCGTCTTCCAGAATATCTAGGTAGGTGTTAAAATTTCTGTAAACTTTATCTTGATTAATTTATTCACAGTTTGAAGCTTGTCAGTCTTAATAGTTTTAATGAAAAATAGTGTTCAGTATTTGTTAAAAATGTATGTATATGTTAAACAGATTTTCAACATTATCTTAGTAGTAAAGAATGTCTATTGTGTAAACACCATGGGAAGTGTTCTGTTGAATAGCTAGGCTGAGGTGAAATAAGAGAAAAAGGAAGAAAGGCTTTCCAGATAGAGGGAACTGCAAGCATGTTAATTAAAGCCACCCCAAGGGTCAAATCCCAAGAAAAACTAAAATAATCTTACCCATATTTTAATAGAAGAACTTGGATATGGGTACAGATTAAAACATTAAGAAATGTAAGTGGGCTTATCTTTAGTCATAAGGTCAGGAGACTTGGAGATCTAGGTTATCCAGGATAAGGCCTTTACTGTCAAAATCAGGTGAGGTATAACCTATTTACATATCACATAATAAGTAAACCTATTTAAACATCACATAGATGTTTAGCCAGTATGCCTTAGTAGTTAGTCGTCTCTTTTGCATTTCGTGACATCTTACCTGGTAAATATTTTGAATATCATCTTGACAGATTAGATATTGTGAGCACTCTTTGCCAGGATCATACCTATATTGTTATTATATCACAGAAACTCTAGGGCTAGCTAGGCAGTGTTTTCCTTAACTTGAGGTAAAAAATAGAAAAATAGAGGATCTTAAACTTAAATTTGAACTCAGATCTTCCTAAGTTTAAATCTTGGTTAATCAAGAAAAGTACTGAGACCTTTGAATCCATTCTAGACTCAAAGTTCCCACTGTTATTTGTTATCCCTAAAATCTTATTTAAGATTTTAAAAAGTAAAAAAAAAGGTCCTGATGTTGATGTTTCCCCTTTTTTTAAAAGAGAAACTAAAGAAGAAATTTCTATCCTGTCTTGAGTTTTTATATTTGTAATTTTCTCTGTTGAGCCAATCTTCCTTTCCAAAGGAAGTCTCATGAGTTTTTATTTTTCCCTTACAGGAGCAAACAGTGTTGCATATCTGTCAGTAGAAGGACTGGTTTCATCTGTACAAGGAGAGATAAAGTTTAAAAAGCAGGGAGTGAAAAAGCAAGATATTATGATTCAAGAAAATGGAAATGGTCTGGAATGTTTTCAAACTAGTGGTCATTGTACAGCTTGTCTCACTGGGAACTACCCTGTGGAACTGGAATGGTAGTTCAAGAATGGAGTTCTTGAAGTTTCAGGTCAAAGCTGATGGAGAAGTTACAGTAGTTACCTATTCATTTTTTATTACTCAGTTGGTACAGTATAAAATGCTATTTGTTTATCATTTGCCTTTATATGGTTTTGAGGTTTTTTTTCCTGAAGAGAGTACCAAAGTGCTGTTCGTTCTTTAATAAATCCTAGATATATATTTTGGCATTATCTAGGAACTTGGACGATCTTCAGTTTTATCTAGTAGTTTAGTAGAGGCTGCCAGTTATGATATCCTATATCTTTAGGATGAGATCATCAGTCGTACAAAGAACAGAGGGATTTTTAGAGGGAATTGCCAGGTACAAAATTCTCAGAATTTTGTCCAATATTTTTTGAGTTTCTAAAATTCAGTTATGGAATATTTTCATAATTGAACTCGCTAATTGTGTAGAATACAATAACATTTGATATTCTTTTTTACACAAGCATTGGCTAATCCTTTCCACTTTTTCAGAGAAGGCAAGTGGTTTTGTGGTACTTGCCAGGCCTATGCTTTAAAGAGTGCAAAAGATGAGGCACAGATGTGTATAGTGCAAACTGGATATGTGAGGTAAATACTGCAGTTTATGCAAAGCTTGACTCCAGTATACCTCAAAGGTAGCTAATGTCTAGAGTTCTCATTATAGTTATGAGCTTGGCTTTCCTATCTAACCCTAGATAAATCTTTTAAGAGAAGATAACCTTCTTGAGTGCCTCACTTTGTCCACCTGTATGTATAATGGGACACTTATGTTATTAAATAATTAAGTGAATGTGTCATGGGTCACTATTTTACTCCTAATTTTTAAGATAGAGCATGATTATTAGTTTTTGGGATGTTGACTGTCAATAATCGAGAATCTCTTAAGACAGAGATATGTAGTTTGGCAGCCCTTTCCCATCTTTTTGAGATGCCCTAGAATGGTTATAAAAACATGTCTGTTAAAAAAATTTTTATGTTCAACAGTATGATACATACTACTTAGTGTAAGTATGGCAAGTAACTTAGTCACTTGAAATAAAAGTCAAATTTTAGATTCTAACAGGCCTTTTATTTTTAATTTGATTAATTATATACTTTTTCAAAGTGAAGTGCTTCATCACTTGCAAGCATATATTCATATGTAAATAAATATGTATCACTGAAATTAAATGGTCCAGTGGAAACGTCCAGTTTTGTTTTAAAGTTCAAGAAGACAACTACTTTGAGTTGAGTGTGCCATCCAATTCCAAACAACATCTTAACCACTTTTTTCTGCTTTATCTTATTGGGATCTAATAAATTAGACTTTTTTGAAGTTTTTTTCTTGTAATGTCTAAGACTTAAAATTTTAAAATGACTTGTTCCTGTTCCATCCCTGTTTATATAAGTTTTTTTTTAAACAGTGTTTCTGTATTACCATAATTTGATGTATATAGCATCCAAATCCACTGAGAAATTTAATATTTATTAATAACTTGAAATCTCATCTTCATTTGGTATATAGTCTCACATGTTATATTACACAAGATTAAGATAAAAATCTTCAGAGCTCTTTAAAACTATGTGAAGCAGGCAGCAGACTTTCAGATAACTGTGGAAGTAACACAAGTAGATTGACATTTGAGTAATAACCCCCTGGGGCCATTTGAGTGGATAGCCTCTTGTCTTAAGTGTATTCCTCATAGCAACATGGAGGAGGCAAGATCTATGGGTCAATATGATCCTAATTACATTTGATTTTTAAAAACAAGAGACTCAGGGAAAATACTAAACCAAAATCTCTAATCTGACTTTTTGTGTTTTGTTTTTCATAGATTCTACTTTGTTTTATTAAATGCTTTAATAAAGGAAAATGATACTGTGACTGTTAATCTACAAATTTGTTACTATTTCTCCATTATGGTCTTTCATTTCCAAGTTTCGGAAGTCTGAATTGAATTATAATTTTTACCCGTTCAATCTCAAATGTGTATATCTGCTTTAAATATATGAGCAAATTATTATAAAGTGCAAAGAAGGTGAAAAATGTGTTTTCACAGAATTTATATTGTGAACTAAGCTATGCCTACCTTTTTGGAATCGTATTATGATGTGTGATATATGTAATAAGTGTATTTGAATGAGTATACATTTCATTAATTGTGATCTTTAGTTAGTGCATTAGGGTACACAGTGACTGTCACATCCATTCACTTGGCACTCAACTAGTCAGATTTAGATATTATCTCTCTGATCTAAGCATTTCAATAAGCAGGCCATCTCTTGTGACGCAGACAGTGTTGACCAAGTAGAAAAGACAAAGTAACTGGAAATGCAGTGCTAAATAAGCACTATGATAGTGACAAGGTCTCTGGAAACACCTAGGAAGAACAGGAAGGGTGTCAGGGAACTTAGATGCAGTATAACTAAGTCAAAGAAGCTAATCTGAAAAGCGTTCTACTTCTGACATAGGAGAGGCAAAACTGGAAACTAGTGATCACTGGTTGCCAGGAGTTAGGAAGGAGTAAATTGTTATAGCATAGAGGATTTTTAGGACTGTGGTTACTACTGGTGCAATTATGTAGGTTGGGTGTATATCATTATACCTTTTTCAAATCCATAGAATGTATAATCAAGATGAACCCTAAGGTAAAAAAGTAAAATATAGATTTTGGGTGGTAATGATGTGTCAGTGTAGTGTCATTAGCTGTAACAAATGTACCACCCAGGGAGGGGGGTGTTTATAGGGGAGACTGAATTGGTTGGGGCAGGAGGTATATGGGAATCCCATACCTTGTACGCAGTTTTTCTGTGAACTTAAACCAGCTGTAAAAAATAAAGAAGCCGGGGGCCCACTTCTAAAACACAAAAAATAATTAAAATAATACATACATGTACTTCAGAAGTTAGTAAATAAACAGGTCATGGGCCTCTCATTTATTCTAGTGCCTTCACACTTAAGTCTATTACTTATGTAACAGTTTTAGACATTTTCTCGGTTCTCCTTCCCTGGAATTAGTAGTCTGCTTTCACAGGTAGACAATCCATTCCAAAGGGAAATGATTGCATGAAGGAGCGCCTGTACTCTCCCGTAGTCACTGAATTTGCTTCATTGAGGCATGACATCCTAATAAAGCTGTAGTGGGGCTAGCATTTTAAAAGAACGGTTATAAGCCCCTCACTAGAACAAGAACCCTCTTATTTTTTTAATGAATAATATAATAGTTTATTTTTACATCTTTTTGTGCCTTTTTTCCATCTCAGCTGTAATCCCCTTGGGCTTCCCATCACCAAATCACCTGTGTGCCAGCACCATAGTCCAGTGCATTTCCACTGTTTCTGATCCCATTCCGCACTCCACCCCCATAAAATGTCTGTGGTATATAGCTATTCATTATTATTACTATTTTCTCACCTGGCCTGTTACATTCCTGCTGTGAGTGAAACCATCCAGTATTTTTCCTTTTCTTTCTGGCTTATCTCACTAAGCATGATCTTTTCCAGCTCCATCCATAATGCTGCAAAAGGCATTTTTTTTTTTGGTTGCTGAGTAATACTCCATTGTGTACCACATCTTTTTAACCCAGTCAACCACTTTTGAGCATTTGGGCTGTTTTCATGTTTTTCCAATTGTAAATAAAGCAGCAATAAATCTGGAGAACCCTCTGTTTTTTAACATCACAGACTTGAGGGTAATATACTGATGCTGGAGACAAAGTGTAATTGGATATAGTAGTAAGGTTAAAATGAACACATAGGATCCCTCTGTCCCCACCCAACCCCCCAAGAAAAAAAATACATGTATGATAGTTTGAGTAGCCAGTGATACATCTTGCGTGAAAGTCTTAAAGGCAAGTGGAAATAACATGTCTGAATAACTGCTACAGTTGACATCGACACCTAAGGACAGGAAGTATCCTGTGCCTTTCCACCTATGATCAATGCAAGGCTGCTTTTTCAGTCCTTCCCCACGCCAAACAAAACCGGATCATTTACTACCGTTTAGAAGAATCATTATTGCCCTTGGCACTTGTAACACCTTACATGTCTCCAATTATACTAATTCTTGGAAACCCATTAATCCGCTGTATATTTTAAATAACTCCTGCATACCTGCTTTCTTTAGACCTATTGAAAACAGTTTTAGCTATCATTTAATCCATCTCTTCTAATTAAAATATGAGCCTAATTATCATAGGGCCTTTGCCCTATCACAGGTCTCACCAGTCTAGGCAAGGTTCTCAGAAAACACCGAATAGATGAAGTCAACGCCAACATTTATCTTCACATCAACCTTAAGGTAATCTATATCCCCACATTGTGGACGAGAAGAGCGAGTCTCAGAATTAAAGTATCTTGCCCAGAGTTCCCTGACAGATACAAAGGGTAAGGCGTAAAGCCATCACTTCCAGTCCTTTCAAATTCTTCCCAAAATCCAGCGTGATCATAACTAGCATCTGAACCAAGAGCCGTCAGCAAAAACGTAACCCGTCAGTCTCAGGTTGGCTTGTCAGCTTCCGGGGCGGTGGCTTGGAACTGTGCGACGCATCCTTCCCTGGGCGCCCGTATGACGTCATCAACAGGCGACGCGGTGGGTTTACGTAGGGATCCGCACCTGGAGTCGCGAAAGCTTAACGCTTAACGACTGCGTTGCTGTGTTTAGAGTTCGGCTCCGGATGGGTTGGGTTTCTGAGTAGTGGCAAGAGGCGGTGTCGGTGGGGCCTTGCGCGAGGGTGGGGAAGTACGATGACACCTGGAACTGACTGCAGGTTTGCTCAATTTCATAAACCCACCTGAACCGGATTGGAATCAGTGGCGCCTAGAGGGTTGGTGTGTTGCGAAGACTGACAGGTGCGCACTCCACGTGGTCATCTGCCACCTTCTGCTCTTTCACTGAAATGGAAATAAGACTGCCTCTTCTACCTGCTAGCGTGGTTTTGGATGATTAAATGAAAGAATGTTTCGGAAGTGCTATAGCGCGCATGGTTGCTAAAACACTTACATAATGTACAAGTTATGCCTGTGTATGTATACCGGAAATAAACTGATCATTTGCTCGTCTGTAAAACAGTCAATAATCTAAGGAGAGCCCCCAAAGAGGTAAAATCTGTTGACTCTTAAGGCCTCTGATAATTAGCAATTTCTACATTTGTAAATGAAGTAGCAAATGCTTAAACTTAATGATCCTATTCATAAAATCTATTGCCAAAATTTGTTTATTTTCCTATAAGGGTTTCCTAGGTTAGGTATCCACTAAATAATGGCTTTTTTTTTTTTTTTTGGAGAGAATGTGTTTTAGACTGAGGTAATAAAAGTGAAAACCTCAGACAATTATACCTTAAGTCTCTATAGCAATTACTGGGAGACGCAATTAAAAGTAGAAAACCAATAGTCAGGATAGGTGTAGTGATTATTATAATTTGTCATAAAAATTTCAAGAATTCATTTTATAACTTTGCCTCTTTATCAGACAATTTTGGTGTTGTATATTGTTCCCAGCTGCATGAAATTTCGCTGATGAAACTTTGTTTTCATTAAAGTTTGGTTCTTAAGAGCATACTTTTATTTGCATTGGTCTTTTCATAATTACCATAGAAGATTTTCTAGCCATTTCATCTTAATCAATCTGATTAAGAAAAAAATTAATTATGCATGTGGAAGTTTAAATTTGGTATTGTTGGTTAATTTCATATACATATATACTACATATGTTTTTTTCTTATTATGGTCACTTGAGACATAATTCTATTTTTATCTGTTTTATCCCAATCTACATATATTACTCAACTTTCTTTCAGCTCTTATGCAGTACTAGTTTAATGTATCAGATTAATTGTCAACCTCATACTCTACAAAGTTACCATGGACAATTCATAATTAAGTTCTTTAGTATGTATCTTTGATGTAATTATTTTTGAAGTACTGAAGTTTCTTTCTCACTCTGTCCCCCTAACATCCCTGTATTATAGGTAGAGTTCTTTGATGTTCAGGTAAACTTCGGTGAAATGACTCTTCAGGAATTGGTGCACCACTCTGCCTCCCTTTTCTCTGATAGAACAGCTGTCTGTTTTGACAACTGTAACGACCAGCCTCCAGTTTACTACACCTATAAGACTGTGGTGAATGTAGCTTCAGAATTATCAAATTTTCTGCTGTTACACTGTGATTTTCAAGGAATTCGGGAAATTGGTCTCTACTGCCATCCTGGGATAAACTTACCCTCTTGGATTTTAGGGTAATACTTTTTGGAACTAAAAATTTGGTATTACTCCTTTAGAACACAGAATGAATTGGTAGTTTACTTTTGGATTTCTGTTTACTATTGGATTTTCTGTATTGCTTGGTTAATTCTAGGTAAAATATAAGTATTCATATTCCCCGTAGGGTTATTTTTATCATCTACATTAATCTGAACTAATTGAGGGGAGACTAGAAATTTTCACTAATAGTAGATATTTAAATATCTCTAAAACAAAAGGCCATCTTTTGTCTGCTAGAGGGAAACAGTGATAATTTCTTCTCTTAGATCAAAGAAAACAAGTATTTCAGAAATACTATAGCTGTGATTTCCCTTTTGAGACTGAAGTTTTAGGTATTTAGATATTCAGCAAATGAATACATGAATAAATTGAAACCTTTGAATAAAGTCTATAAAATTGAGATAGGAACTGAGGAAGATATTAGTAAAATATTTGCAAAATAGTCAATTATTTAAGGTCTAAAATATCCTCACATGGTGATTTCTGTGTTAGGGTTCTGTAGTAAACAAAACCTGCTAAAGAATTAGAAAAATTTATATTCATCCCACTATATGCATGTTAGTAGATTCATTATATGTGTTGTGAATATGTTATGAATGTCGCCCCCACCACCACCATCATTTTACAGCAAAGCCATGTCCATAGGCTTCAAGTCTTGTTCTGTGAAGCAATCATGTAAGAATCTGTGCTTGTCCAAGATGCTAGCTAAAGATTTAACAATGGGAACCTCGCCTGTGTTTCCACATTCTTTAAAAGTCAAGGAAACTGACCGTCCT